TGAAAAATGAAAATAGAAGTTAGAACAATTAATTATCATATCAATTCTAAGTAAATTGATATCACTTATAAATCCCTTTGTATTTTATGGAAATCCTGAATATGAGATTAGGAATGAAACTGTTAATCATAACAGATAAAAGTATATAGCTAAAATAATTTTTCAAATAAAGATTTCCTGTCTTACCTTATATTATAGCATTGGAAATTTTGACTCTTTTTTTTTCTTATTTTTAACTCTTTTGGGTGCACCATAAGAGAAAAGATGATGTTAAAAAAGTGATTATTGCAATGATAGTGGGAAAGTATGTGTCCTCCCTGTTCACAGACGGCGTGAACTCCATGCAAACAGAAAATTTGGAGCTCAAGAAAGTTGTCTATTTATATCTCATCAATTATGCTAAAAGCCAGCCTGATCTTGCTAGACTTGCAGTAAATACATTTGGAAGGTAAGAGCTGATGAACTTCAGTCTTATCCAATTAATTTTGTTATGGTCTTGTGGATATAGGTATTAACATGTTTGCAAGGAAGTGAAAATATCATTGTCCTTTGTTAAGTGTAATTCGATGTTCTGTAAAAATTATTAACTAAACTTCAATTCAATGATACTTTTGATTAATTTTCATCTGAAAATTAACAGAATTCCTGAATGCTTATTCCTTGTTATTTATCCATCTGTTGGAATGTCAGTGAACAAATATGGGAAAGGCAATGGTCAGTTAGGTGTTGATAATGGAGTCACTGGAAATGATCATGCTGTTCCAAAGAGAAACTATTTTAATTTTTAGCTATTTAGGTTCGATTATTAGAGAAAGATGGTCTTGGAAATGTTTGTAATGCATTAGATTGGAGTGGGTTGATGAAGTGAAGAACTGCTATAAAATTCTATGTGACAGGAATATACATATAATGTTCAATTGCATGCTTTACAGGATGGTTATTAGACCACCTCTATGTTATTGTATTGAAAGTTGGCATTCAAAAGAAATTTCTATAAAATAAATGCATGAGATTTTGGATATTAAGGTGGATACATGGCCAAAATAGAATGGATAATATAGCCTGCGAATGGAGGGGTTACCGACCGAAGATAAATTTAGAGAAGTTATGGCTTTGGTGTTTGGAGTATGCTTTTGAGACCTAAAGGAGCTTCCATTGATAAGATTAACGTGATCCTACTTGAACATACTAGAAGAGAGAGGTAGGCAGAATTAAAATGACATGATGCAGTTGTTAAGAATTGGATTATGCCTGGTTTTTAGGAGATCAAGTGATGATCAAATGGAGTGGGGAATATGAATACAAGTATCTGACCCAAAGTTAGTAGGGTAGAGAAATAAGTTTTAATTTGTTGTATAGAGAAACAATAGTTATTGTAAGGGTATATCATCCTTTTTACATTTCAGTCTTATTATTACTCTATCTTCTTTATTGTTTTTATTTATTTTTTCTTTGTTTAAAACAGCAAATGTTACTGAGTTCGCACTTTTATGCTCTTTATGTACTTCCCAGGAACGCTGGTTCCTTCTACCAAATCTGGACATTTAGTTGATTTACCTACAATAGCCACTTTGCATTCTAGCCATCACAAGAGTTTTGAAAAAAACCAAAGGCCGTTTGTGCCATTTGTCATAAGTTTTTCAGATGAGGACAGTGGTAGCGACCGCGAAGAGAGCAAAGAGCCGAATGCTTTAGTAGCTAAAGGTAAATCTCTTCTATTAGAGAGAAGTAGAAACATTTGTCGTACCTTAACATATGATACTCTCTATGTACAATTTGTTCATATTCATAATCACGCGTATTTTTAAATATTTATTTTAATTGATAATGTATTTGAGCTGACATTGTGTTGTCTTTTGATTTTCTACATATTTGGATGAATTTTACGGATATTGGATATATGTAATTTTTTTTTTTTGGTATTAAAATTTCTTTGCAAATGTAGATTGAGGTCTCATGAACATCAAAATCTTGACTGTTGATTATATTTTGAATGTGAAAAATTAAAATTCCATGTTGTGCTCATTCTGCTTTGAATGATAGGTTTTGGTTTGTTTGAAAGTCAATTTATTTATTTTTCCATTACTAACATATGTAAAATAAAGAAAGCTTTAAGCTGTATGATTTCTTTTTTGAAAATTCGATGCTTGAGTTGGAAGCTTGCATGGAAACTAATGTGTTCAGCTTGTTTGAAAATTTTGCTAAAATACTAGAACTTGTTGAATGATAAATATTTGACCTGCACAAACAAGTTCAAGCTTGAACTCTTCTAGACCGTTCCTCTTTTTCATAGATAGAATTTTATCCAAGTGTCAATATAAGCTCATAATTTGAATATGTAGTGGTATAACGAATATGACACCCTGTCCCCTGATAAGAGAAGCCCCATAGGTAGGTAATAGTAGACTAGCAGTAGTACCAAGCTTTTTATCAGTTTCCTAATCCTAACTATATAAAAAGAGCCACTTTGACATGTACTGTTCATTGGACACTTGTCGACAAATTGAATCGTAAACCAACACGACGTCGTTTGGTTGTTTCTTGAGTGTTCTCTTACCGCCAACCTCTATTACCCCTCCAAGCCTCCACAATTACTTCACGTGTACTCAAATTTCAACCCCAATTACCCCATTTACTCCGGCTTATGAATCCTTTCACATTTAGGTCTCAAAAACTCTTATTCAGAACGATTCTCATTTTATTTTCGTCCATTTTCAGCTGTACCACTCAACTTCCACAAGATGGTTTTGGTGTGCCTCCATTCATGGCAGTCATCATACCAGGATCCTTCTGCATCCATTGCCATTTTTTCTCCGATGAATTTAGATAAGCTTTTGACATGACCATAGCAATATTTCTACAGTAGAATTCCATAAGTTGCTTGAGTAGTCAAGGGTGGAAAATTATCTCCTTCCCCATATCTGCCAAAAGCTTGAAAGGTAACTGAAATGGTTATAACAGCCAGAACACACATCATGGGAAAAAAATAACGAATACTAGAAAACCAAGGATTGTAAGGTCCTAATGAAGGCCACTAAGAAGATCGGGATTGATTGTCAAGAGAAGAAAATAGAAAGAATGAAGATGGCAATAATGCTACACAACTTTGACAACATGAGGAATTGTAGGAGAGAGATTGAATTTTATGATCTTTTGCCATAGAAGTTTCCAACTTTAATGTTACAATCATTAATGTTACAATCGTTTTAACTTCAAATTATTTTATATACCAACGAGATAAATAGTACCATTCAAATAAAAAACTTCAAGAAAGCATACAAAACTTTAATTGAGCAATATGTAGAATTAGTTACAAGTTAGTTGCAAGTGCTCGACTGTGGTTGCGAAATCACCCCAATCAGCATGTATAGCACTACAAAAACGACTAAACATTCGTGTAACCGCCAAGGTATATTTGATTTTGTTTCAATATAATTACAAAACACTTGCGAAAGTTTGCCATAAGTAGCTGAAATCTTAGATCAAATGATTTTAGCTGTCTAAGCCATCCTCAGTTTTTTTTTTTTTTTTTAAAGATCGCAATATTGAGTAGCCAACTACACCACTA